TCTCTCTCTGTCTCTTCTCTCATCCTAAATCCAAAAGTAGCTTCAGGACCTGAGTCCATACTTTTATGGTTCTATTTCTGCAGTGCACATCTTGGGCTTGCTTAATCATTTATTTTTGCTTTTCCTCTATGTATAAATGCAGCATATGTAATAAAACAACTATTCATCAGAAAGATATTCAGGACACAGAGAGTTGCATTTTTAGAGCATTGGAACAATAGTTGCAGCTGCAGAAAATTACAGGTATGGCAGTGTTCTTTCTCCATACTCTGAGTCCCATGCATGGGTGAGCATGTGCACATGTGGCTGGATCCTCTTTTGGCCAAATACATCCTGAATATTGACACAGGTGAGGCACTCTCAGTAATCCCTGCTCAAATAGTACAGGCCTATTCTCTAGAAAAAGACACTTATCCAAAAAGGAACATGGTGCAGATAGACACACACAGACTAAGAAGGGGACTGTGGCTCAGCACTGAAATGGAAAACAAATGCCCTTTCCAGCCTTTATTTCTCCTTGTCTGGATTCTTCCAGGATGCTGAGTATGCGAGGCCATGGGCTGTCCACGGGGGCCACACCCAGGAGGGGAGGGCCGCAGGAGGGGTGCTGATGGGAAAACCATTCACAGAGACACAGAAGGCTAATGACCACTGCCAGACGGCTGCAGGGTGGGGCAACTGGAGGGCAACATTGAAGCTGGAGGACAGAAGGGAGCTGGAGTTGCAAGGCCCAGTCCAGAATCCCCGGGGCACAAAGCTTGTTCCTCTATTCTTCGTATACGTGACAGGATGGGCAGAGTGACAGGATGGGCAGAGAGGATGCCAGCAGTGGGAGGGCGGTATATCTGGAGGCTATGGACAAAAGGGGAGAGGCTTTGCAGGTCTGGTCTGAGAACATCCCACCCTTTTGATCACCCATCTCCCACCTCTTGTTGGCCTACATTGCATTGACTTGTGACTGTTCCTCAATATCTGATGAGCGGCCATCTCCAGCTCAGCTCACCTGGATGAGTCAGGGACAGTGGAGTTTGAAACCTTACTCACTCTGACTTAATCACCAAAGTTAACCACCATCCTGAGAGAGGTGAGATACCGTAGCATGTTTCAGGAGCAGTTTTGTAGACGGACTGTGTCGAGGGCTGTCTCTGAAGAGAGAGAACTTGTCTGAATTTCCCACCTCCAGCGCCTTCTCTGTGGCTGAGAGAGCAATTAGGCTCATTTTCACTTTTCTTTTTTTAACCTAGGAGCAATGTGTCCTCTGCATTGTTGAGGAGACTGGATAAATGAGACAGATAGATGGGGGCAGGTGTGAGATGGTGACAGAGTTGGCCGCCGAGGTACCTTTGTGATCCATCTCTGCAGAAGCCGGCATTCGTTCCGTGGGGATTCAGCAAGACTGATACCCAGCAGTGACAGTTTGGACATCTAAACATGACCTTGGATGTGCTCAGAACCGCAGCTGGAACTGTGCCAACTTCTCAGAGTAGTCTATCACAGTGGCCGCAAAACCGTGCTGGAAATTGGCTGCGTTCTGAGCGGTGGTGCATCTGCAGACGAACCTCTCCGCCCCTGTAGCGCGGTGCAGTGTTGGGGGACGGCTTCCATTTCTGTCCATTTTCAATAATTAGATGCTCACAAGGAAGCCCAGGACAGTCCTCTTGTATTCATTGGGAGGTTGTGAGATCCCCGTGGTGGGCATCGAAAATAATTATTCAAGCGATTTAGTGTTTGTCAGTCAGCGTTTCCTGCACGGTGGCCACTCACCTGGTACTTGTCAGATTTCAGCTCCTGGGGAGGAAAAAAAAGGACTTTGCTTCTGGTTCCCCAGAACATACGGGTTATGGGAAAGTTCTATCCTGTACAGTGTTGGAAAACTGTTTCATACCAGGGTGCTTTCCTAGTGCCTGTTCACTCTGCAACTCGCATTTTGCCAGGAAACACACATCTAAGTTACAGGTTCTCAGCGAGCTCTTCAGACCAGCGTCAGCAGCACTTGGAATTTTGTCAGAAATGCAGCCTCCCAGGCCCTGCCTGGGCCTACTGAATCAGAAACCCATGGAGTAAGGTCCCAGGAATCTCTTTTTAATCAGATCTTTCAGGCGATACTGATGCACGGTGAATTTGAGAAGAACTGATTCAGGTGTTCTTTTGGGAGGCCCTATAAGAACACTAAATTTGGAAAACAAAACAAAACAAAAACTGGCATGAATCCTGGTTCTGCAGTTTAATATCAGCATGGTTTCAGTCAATATGGCTAATGTTTCTCAGCCTCAGCTAATTTTGTCTGTAAACTGGCAATAAGTGAACCCAACCAAGTTTGTGAGATGATAAAATAGTGCATATAATGGGCTCATGTAGTCAATTAACATTGACCGTGAATGTGAATTCATCCAGTTTCGTGCTTGGACCCAAGTGAAGGTCAGAGCAGTGGTCACCCTTCAGGTTATTAATATAAGCTATCCTAGATACATTACTAGCAAAGCAAGCTGCAAAGTGTGTTTTTGTTCTTGAGAGATTTCAAACCTATGCCGTTCCAAATTCGTGTTTCAGACAAGGCAGTACCAGATGACAGTCATGGGGTCTGCAAGGAGCATAAGGGAAGGAAGGTACAACATCAGGTGCACCCTCCAATGACTGCACTTTTCTCCTTCTCGTTCACCCTCAGAGTCCATTCTGGATATTCTCATCAAAGCCACAAGAAAGGCTTGGAGCATACTCTTGACCAGTTCAAACTTCATGTGCATTCAAGTTACCTGGACATCTTATTAAAATGCAGATTCAAATTTGTTATCTCTGAGAGGAGGCCTGAGATTCTGCATTTTGGACAAGCTCCCACCCAAATGATGCCAATGTTGCTGGTTTGCTAGCCACACTTTTGTGTAGTGTGGTGCTAGCTCAGTGCTTCTCAAACCCTAATGTGCATAAAGCTCATGTCTAGATATGAACTTCTAGATGTGACTTAAGGAATGACCAGGGGCCATCAGCACTGGCATCACCTGGGAGCTTACTAAAAGTGCAGATTCCCAGACCCTACCTCAGACCTACTGAATCAGCATCTGCACTTCAGCAAAATCCCCAGGGGGCCTAATGTGCACAGTAAAGCTTGAGAAACATGCGGAGCTGGCTTCACAACTTTGTTTATTTCCATAGAAATCTGTTATCACCACCTTGAAATCCTTATTCATGCTTGAACAAAATACCCTGTGTTCTTATTTTGCACTGGGCCCCACAAATGGTATAAGTTGTCCTAGACACACTGCTCCGTATTAGTGGTTTTGAAACATTAGTGTGTGTATGACCCAACTGAGATGTTGTTATAAATTCCCAGATTTTCTGAATCAGTAGAATGAGGGTGAGACTAAGAATCTCTAATAAACCTCTCCTGTGATTCTAATATAAGTAGTCCATGTGCACTTTGAGAGGTAGTCCCTGACCTTCTCCAAGGTAGGCCTTCACTCATTTCCAAGCTGTATCAGAATGGTGCCAGCGAGAGCCCGCATCTCATCTGCATTGCCAGAAAATGCAATAAGCTGCAAAAACCTTGTTGGGCACCTATGCCAAGGTGTTTCTTTTTGGGCAGTATTTCCCACAAGAGCTCTCAGCAAACTATCCATCTACACCTAAGTGATCCTTCCATAATGTTGAGACATTTACATAAGCAAAGCAGAAAGGATGCACAGTACAGGATTTCTCATGGGGACAGGGGTCTCCTGAAGAAGCAGGTGTGTACAATAGCAGTTGTTAGAGTTTTTATGGTCACAAACCGTTTTGAGAATCCAGTAGAAGCCATCACCTATCCCCAGTGAAAAATTCACCTTTGCACCTTATGAGTCTCACACAGGACCAGGAATCAGAGGACTTGGCTGAGAGGTCTGACTTCTATACTTTTAGCCTCATTCCTTGGACAAGTCATCAAGCTATTCAGAACCCTAGAGTCATGATCTTTAAAGCAGAGAATGGGTAACAGTGTCAACCTCAGAAATTTGTTGCAAAAAATCAAAGGAGACGTTGAGCTGTAAAAGTGCTTTGTACACTGCAAAATAAGGTATACATTTGAGGCATCATTATACACCCTATGCTGCATTGTTATTTCCAGCATTATAGTCAGGATCAGGACACTATGTTTGTAAATTTAGCCTAAGGCCATGGAACAGACTTGCTGTAGTAAGAGAGGGAAATGAATACAGACAGAAAGACATGATGAGGACTTGGCGAGAGTTGCTGGGAAATTTAAAAGTGTAGAAAAGAGAAGGGAGCTTCCACAATTCGAGGACTCCAGATGCAAAAATAAAAGAAAGAAAATCTATTTTTATATGTGCAGACAGTTTTGAGATTTTGGAAAGTGGCTTTAGTCTAGCAGTCACCGAACATTTCTGCCCCTGGGTATAATGAAGATGAATAGCGATAGTGGTGGTCTGTATTTAGTTTTGACTGCAGAAGCCTTCTGTGGGAATTTGCTATTCTGAGATGAGAGGAATAATGTTTAGTCGTTAAAAGCTGGGTCTCTGATCTAACACACATTTATTGTGTGACTTGGACAACTAGTTTAGTTTAGTTTCTCTGCTCTTCTAGGCTTTTTCCAATAAAATATTCTTCATAGGGTTATCATAAGTATTGAATGCTATAGTGCACCCTAAACACCTAGTCGTAAATGTGAAGGATTATCATCACCCGAATCCTTGAGCAAAGGGAGAACTGGTAGTATTCGAAGTATTCAGCCATCCTGGGCATGCAAGGTACCTCTAGGCTATAACTGAGATCGTATTTGAAGTGGTTCTGTGCTCAAGTGGTTTGAGAAGCACTGAGCAACATTCTGAGGCTATAATCCCGTAAGGCCTTTGCTGTGTTCCAGAAAAGTCCACCCCTGACAAATCAAAGGAAATGTATGTGTTGGGGGAAGGGAGAAAGACAAGATATTTTAGCCTTGCCACGAGGACCCACCTGTGATGGCTGCTGTCATCTCTCAGTCCCTTGACGTACCTGTCTGGTCTTCCCTTCAGGTGCACTATTGACAACCGGGTCACCCGGGTGGCCTGGCTGAACCGCAGCACCATCCTCTATGCTGGGAATGACAAGTGGTGCCTGGATCCGCGCGTGGTCCTCCTGAGCAACACCCAAACGCAGTACAGCATCGAGATCCAGAACGTGGATGTGTATGACGAGGGCCCGTACACCTGCTCGGTGCAGACAGACAACCACCCAAAGACCTCTAGGGTCCACCTCATTGTGCAAGGTAGGTCGGCGGGGCTTGGCGGGGAGATCTGGCTGGCCAGCCTGGAGAGCCTTCAGGTAAGGGTTTTTTCTCTGATCCCCAGCAGAGATGAGTTCTCCTTGTTCTATGCATCTAAGGTCCAGGGCACATTTCCGGTTGTCATTTTGCAGTTAGAAGCTAAAATTTTCCAGTCATTTTCATTGAGTTGAACTAGGAATTGTGTGTTTTTTAAATTTTTGTTCCAATAATATATTTTCTCAGGAAATTCTCTTTTAATTATTGCTTTTCTTGACTTTTTTCTCCCCTAAGTTTTAGTGGGTTGTTTTTTTTTTTAATTTCATGCAATTCCAAGATTGTGTTGTGTTTAAAACCAGACTTTTAATGCGCTTTTGGAAGTACAAGTATGCTATGCCCCCCTTCAGCCTTGAAAGGAAGCAGAGCCAACCAGGATGCACTAGGCCCTGCCTTCAGCTGCGTCCTTCACAAATACCTGCTTGTTTCCGGCTCCCTTGCACCTCCTCTCATCTCCCAGCCAGGGGTTTTAGATGCCATTTCTCCCCTGTAATACTGGTGTCTGATTCTCCCTGATTTGATTCCATCCCAACTCTCCTGGCCTTCTTCTCCTCCCCTGGCTCCTGGCTCATGAGGCCTTGTATATGTGTGTGTGTGCGTGTGTGTGTGTGTGTGTGAGAGAGAGAGAGAGAGAGAGAGAGAATATGTGTGTTGGGTCTACTCTCTCAGACCCTGGGAATGGAGCTCACCTCCATTCCCAGGCAGAACCAGTCCTGGGGCATTCAGACACCACTTAACCTGGTTGAAGGATTCCTAGTTAGTGAGCAAGAGCTGGCATCACACTTGGCCACTTTCTGGCTGTGAGGCCTTAAGTGATTACTGTGTCTCGGGTTCTCTTTCTGTAAAGGGGTCAATGTGAGGATTGAATGGTACATGTACTGACATAGAAAACACTTAGAAGAGGACCTGGCACATACAAGTGCTATTTCAGCTGTTGAGTCTTCTTTTCTTTTCTTCTTTTTCAGGACTCTTGTAATTTTTATATTTTTTTAGCCTCTTTTACAGTGGGCCAGATATCTTACTTTGTGATGTCAGCAGTGTAGTCCCTGAGCAGTGGCATGCCAGATCCAGTGCTGGGGCCCTTTCCCAGGCTGATCCCGAGGCCTCTTCACAGGGACGTGCAACTCCAGGGCAACACACTCCTCTCCTAGGGGCTCCTTCCTCCAGTCCCCTTGTCGGTGTGTTCAAGAAAAGGGTAAAGAGCTGTGGGATGATTGGTTAGAGACAGAATAGGAAGGAAGGCGGCTTGTGAAAGAAGAACTGAAGTGAGCTGGAAGAAGGAAGGGGAGGCCCGCTGTTTGACAGTAGGGGAAGGCGGAACTTGGGTCGTGATCAGCACTGTTGAGTGAGGCAGGGTGAGCAGGACTGAGAGGAGGACACGCGAGAACCAGGCGATACTGGACCTGGCTCTGGGCAGAGCGTATACCAGGGGACATGGGAATCCCTAACGCTGTGGCCCAAGTTTGGTCCTGCCGAGTTTTTATTATATTTTGCTTACTCTTTCTTACCCAAAGGAAATTATAATGGCTCTTTAAAAAGTGATTCTAGAAATGAATACTTTTTGAACTGATGCATGCAAACAGCATTTTTAAAGAAAATAGAATTGCATAGAAGGTATCAGGGTGTATTACAAAGAGTGGAGTAGGTATTGCCATGTGAGATTTTTGTTTGTTTGTGTACATTTTTTAATATAAAATACATTTTTTATTGTGGATAGGGAGACCAAAAATTCTCCACTCTGTGGGGAGGGCTGGTGAATGCCCCAGTGCCACCATCTGCATACTCTACCAGGTGGTGCTTGGAAGCCATTGCTCAGCCCTTCTCCTGTCCTGCCTCAACCCCATGCACACTTAGTGTTGAGAAAAGAATGCCTAGCATTGACAATGAGAGACTGGGAACTAGGAACTATTAGAGACATTTGCTTTAGGAAGCAGGGCCTTATGGAACTGGAAAATGGAAGGAATTGTGAAAAGTGCTAATGCCTCCTTGAAAACAGGATCATATTTTTGTCATTTTCTTTGTTCAGTCCCCCTACTCATGCACACCCCCACACCCCTGCCCTGAACACCTGCCAGAATGCCTTATACAAAGTGAGCATTTAATAAATGCTTATCCAAGCAAATGGCTAGAATTAGAGCCAGACGATCTTATATGGGCTCCAAGAGAGACGGCTGGGTGTTTGTGGGGGTGAGATGATGGGAGGGGGTGAGAGGATGGAGTCTACATCAATCTTCACTCACGTCCAGGCTAATGGAAAATGTCTAATCCCCGGCTAGGTGTTTACATCTGTGACTTGGCTGGGTGCCCTCTTCGCATGACACACCACCTCAAGTATTGGAATCTCATCTTGGGCTAATTTTCGAATGCTGATGGGTGTATTGATCTAGAAACAAGCTGGGTTAAAAAAGGCATTGGTCTTGTACACAGACTCAGCCCAAGCTAATCCGCCGTCGATATGCCTGGACTGAGTATTATCGACACTTTAATGAATAGAGGGCCATAGTTTTTTCAGAGCCGAACTGACCCCCTCTTCAAAGCAATCAGACAAACTAAATAGAGCCAGACTCTTGTGTTTCTGTATTGGAAAGAGGATGCACCACCATCCTGGATTACAAAAAAAAAAAAAAAAAAATGAAAAGGAAAGAAATATATTTATCTTTGGATCGTTTATTATACTGAACGTAAACCCTAATTCCCCCGGCAGAAGCTGACTATCTGGATTTGAAGTTGCTATTCAGCCCTGAGCGCAATGCTTCTGGAATAAAAGTTGGGCATATTAGGTTTTCAAAATGGTATTATGATCATTTAAAAAAAGAAATAAAAACAGCAACAACAAAAAGGAACGAAATTGATATTCTGCCTGTGAGTATGTGTATTTATGTATATGAAGTCAGCTTCATATCTAAATAAACCCACACAGAAGGAAGGTAATGGCATCTCACAGCATTGCGCAAGCTGCTTCAGGTCTGGGGTATGTCTTTCCCCTTACTGTCAAATATCCCATCTACCCGCTAGTTCTCTGTACTAGATTTTCTTCCCCTGTGGTCCTGATCCGATATGGTTAGTTCTTGCAGACAGTCATGCCAAGGCGGCCACATGGGGCAAGTCTCTGGGGCCAGCTAGGAGCAAAGCCCATCCTTGGGGAGGAGGGTGACCCTGGAACCAGTGTGGGAGGGAAATGGAGGGGAAGGCAGCAGAAAGAGGGAGACAAGAGAACTGAGCTAAGTAGCTACTTGCCAGGGTGGCTATTTAAAATTAAATTTAAATTAGCTACAACCAAATAACATTTAAAATTTACTTCTTCAGTCACACTAGCCACACTGAAGTGCTTACATAGTCAAGCAGGACTGCTGTTCCCTTGTGTTAGTTCATTTTGCATTACTATAAAGGAATGCCTGAGGCTGGTAATTCACACACACACACACACACACACACACACACAAGAGGTTTATTTGGCTCATGATTGTGCAGCCTGTACAAAAAGCTTGGCACCAGCATTTGCATCTGGAGAGGGCCTCAGACTGCTTCTATTCGTGGCATGCAGTGAAGGGGACCCAGTATGTGCAGAAATAGCATGGTGAGAGAAAAAGCCAGAGAGAGCAGGGACGGTGCCAGGCTTCTTTTTACCACCAGCTTTCGAGGAAGCTTATAAAGCAATAACTCACTTGCCCCACTAACCTGCATTTATCTATTTATACTCCATCCCCATGGCCAGACATCTCCCATTAGGCCCCCACCTCCAATTTTGGAATCAACTTTCAACATGAGATCTACAGGAACAAACCCCCAAAGTACTGCACTCCTGTGTTGAACAGTGCAGAGAGAGAACATTTATGTGAACTTCCATTGTAAAAAGCTCTATTGGGTGGTGCTATAAAGGGTTACCATTATGGATCAGCAGGTGTTAAAACTAGAATGGCTTTCCATGGCTTGACGGGCTAGGCATATTGTAGAAAGGAGAGCGAACTTTTTGAAAGAGGATGGAAATTTTTAAAAAGATGATGCTCCTTTAAAAACAAGAGAGAATTGTTTAAAAAGGTGGAGTAATGGAGTTCCCAGGTTAGCTTCAATTGTTTAAAAAGGTGGAGTAATGGAGTTCCCAGGTTAGCTTCAATTGTTTAAAAAGGTGGAGTAATGGAGTTCCCAGGTTAGCTTAGACAGAGAAGAGTCTGGAGTCCAAGGATGTACCTGTAGGAGAGTAGGCGGAGTTCAGGGGTTGGTTAAGTGTGAGCATGGGGGTGATGACTCCACCAGGACACTGAGATTTCTACCTGTGAGCTCGGGAGATGAATCCTAACATGTCTAAAGACCACATGGCAAAACTGATTCATCAGCAGAGGGGAATGAGTTCAGATACCTGGACTTCTTGACTTTGAGATGCCTTGAATACTCCCTTCAAATGTGAAATGCAAGAAATACCACCAGTGGATTTGCATGTCCAGAACATAATCTTTTTGTCCAGAGTTGGGGAGATTCATCTAAAATTTATTGACATTTAGGTCTAATGATTTCCATCTCTTTGACCTTAGGGTTTTCTGTTTAATAAATGTAATTAATAAGTGATTCTCTCTGGAGTCTAGCTGAATATTTTATTCCTCTCACCCTCTTACTCCTGCTACCAAACCAAGCACCCTGTACATCTGAAAAAGCCATACTGCTGTTTCCACTGTTCCCTTGGACAAGGTTATATCTTGGAAAACACAGAGTGGATAAAACACTCAGTGGGAATGAATTGTTTGCCTAATTAAGGACAGCTTGAGAAGACGTCTCAAAGGCCCCATCTGTGGATGGTGGTAGAGCAAAAGTGTGCCATGGTTGTGCGCAGAGTGTTAAGAAAGGTCCTCCCTATCCAAGCATGGAAAACGGACTTCTCAGTTCTGACGGTGTACCTGCGGGACTTCACTCTCACTTAGAGACACATTTGCATGACAGAGAACAGTAGAATACAG